AAAAAAAAAAAAAATAGAAAAATTAGCCACATATAGTGGTGCATGCCTGTAGTCCTGGCTACTGAGGAGGCTGAGGCAGGAGGATCATCTCTTCAGCCCAGGAGTTTGAGGTTGCTATGAGCTATGGTGATGTCCCTGTACTATAGCCCTGGGCAAGACCCTGTCTCTAAAAAAAAAATGAAAAAAGGAAATTGGAAAGAGAGGCTAATGAGAGAGTAAGGAAGGGAGCAGAGACTTGGTCCTGTGTCAACTGAGTATCCTCGAAGTCTGTCCCCTGAGGATTGTCATCAGAGGAAAGACAGTGCTACTCACGGGTATGCCCCTGGAGAACAACTGGCTTTGGTTACATGGAAAGGGCATAAGAGATGGAGAACTGGAATAGACCCTGGGGGCTGAGGACCCTCAGACTTGGAGAAAGACGTTTGTTTGGCCTGTGCAGGAGCACACCAGGCCTCTGCTTGGTTGGTCACCCAGCCCTTGTTGAGCACCTACTATGTGCCAGGCATCTCCTTGTTAGACTCCGTGTGTGACACGCAGAAGAACAGCACCCTGTCTCTGTTCCCAAAGATGGAGCAACCCTGTGGGAGACCTAAGCAGAGCCCGTGGACACGATGTGATTAAGACAGTAAAACGATGGCCCTGGACTCCTGAAGGATGGGGGTGTGCTGGAGTTCTCAGATGGGGTTCTATTGGCAAGAGATCAGTGAACGTAGATTCTCACCCCCTCTTTAGATAAGAGGAAACTGGGGCCCAGAAAGTAGCTTATCTTGCCTACAGTGCCGTAATTAGTAAGTGGCAGGATTTGAACCCACATTCCCTGGATCCCAGTCAGAAGCACCATCACCACTACAGCAGTATCTGCCGAAATGGTTTCCTCTGACTCTGTTTTGATGAAGGCAGTAGCCACACGCCACATGTGGCTCTATTAACTTTTAATATGAATTCATTAAAGTGAAAGAAAATTGAAATTTCAGTCCTTCAATCTCCCTGGCTACCTTACAGGTGCTCAGCAGGCACATGTGGCTGGTGACACCCGTGGTCAACAGCCCAGATGAAGAATATTCCCATCGCTGCAGCAAGTTCTGTGGGACAGCACTGCTTTGATGATAAGTGCTTTGAAGACAAAGAGTTCTATGGGGGGGAAAGTTTGGATAACCCTTCATTCGATTTTCCCCTCATGGAGGAAATCCATAATACACATTAGCATGGATATCCTGTGGCCAAAAGAATTGCTCAGCTCATTCTCTTTCAAATAAGATTGACTAGGAGCCCTGAAAGGATGCTCGTCTTAAAGCCTGCAGGACGCTAGATCTCATGGAAGGCTGCACCCCACCAGGTGGTCCTCTTCACATGGTATCCTTGTATAAGTGAATGGTGCAGCTGAGTGAAGGATTCTCCTCTGGAACTGACTGCCACAAGGCCACTTAGGTGGGACTGAACTGGTACGCCCCATGTATATAGCAGGAGTGTTACAAGACAGAGGGCAGGCTGTCTCCAGCTAAAGACTGTCTTAGAGAATTTTAATGCATGTAAAAAATGTCTCACCAACCTGTCAGGAAGTTCTTTCTTGTATCTAGCCACATTCCCTCTTGCTTTTCTGCTAAGCCCCATTGCCTCTGCTTTGACTCCTCATTGAGCTTTGGGAAATAAGTCACTCAGATGTTTGTTAAGCATCTACTATGCGCCAAGCACTCTGCTAATACTGGTCCCTCCCAGCCCAGGGCTCTTTCCATTAGAATTATGACATTTAGACGGTTCCTTGCAGATGGCAAAGCACTTTCCCTCTGTTTTTCCAGATTAACTTCCTCCTCCCCGATCATTCCAGAGCTGAGAAAACCGAGTCCTGGTGCTGCTAAGGGACTTTAGGTCACACAGCTGGTACATGCAAATGCAGAACTTTAACTCAGATCCTCCGACTCTCAAGCCAGAGCTTCCTCCTTCATGGCCCCTCCCACCCTCGTGGTCTGCACAAATGGCCTCAGAGCAGCATGTGGGGGTGGCCTCTGCCTGGCAGGGACAGAAGGGCAGAGCTCTCTCTGGAGCAGCGTGTCACCTTGTTTCCTCACTCATGGGTGGGAGATGGCTGAGTGCAGGCAGGGTTCTGGACAATATGCACGGGCACATTAACAACAGCCTGAAGCCCAGGTGGGACGCAGCAGCTGCCCTGCACTGCTCTGCTCAGCTGCCCCCCAGCTGCTGGGAGACTCTGGTCCCTACCCACAAGGGCCAGGGGAAGGAAGGTTGAGCAGAACAGGAGAAGTTCAAGGGCAAAGAGGATTAAAAATCTAATCAAAGGATGAGGAAACGAGGGACTGAAGGGAAAGGCAGCTCTGAGCTCTGAAGGAATCGCTCTTCCATCTTCTTATTAATGCAGGGCCAAGAGACACTGCAAGTAGAATTAGGAACAGAATGTAATTCTATTTTCCAGCCACCAAAATTAGGTTTAACGGAGATCATTCCACGGGGAATCGTGCCACTTATTCTCCTGCTTCCCAAAAGTAGATTTTTAATAAGCAGAGTTTGGACCAAGTAGAGATATATTGTGAATTACATTATTTTTCTTTAATGGGAAAAAAATCAGAACATCTAACAAGTACCTGTTTCTAATGAGGCTAGGAGAGGAGATGTGGGTGGCCTGGCACGGCCATCCTGACTATCCCCACGGAGCCTGTGGGAGTTGAGTATTTGGGGGCTTCCGAGGAGAGTTTGGGGTTCCCACTATAGTCCCCCGAGCCCACTGCCCAGCCCTGCCACAGAGCTACCTGTTAAAACCTTTCGGATGGACTCAGAGCCACAAGTATGAGTGCTGTACATTTCCCTGGTGTCTTCGTACATGGCTGAATTATTTTTTTAATGCTTGCTTTGTTGTTTCTAAGTATTTTAATCCCTTTTGTGGTTACATGTCTTATGTCCCATGCCTTCTGCCACTCATCAACTACCTATGTGATCGTGGAAAAGCGACTTAACCTTTCTTTACCTTCTATCAAATAGGAATAATGAAACTTCCCTCTCCCCAGATGGCTGGAGGGATTAAATAGGACAGCACCTACAGAGTGGATAACACAATGTCCACCTAGCACGTGCTGGGCAGGCCGAGTCTTCCTTCTCATCCTTTCTCAGATCTTTTTGAAAGAGGCCAGACCAGCTCCTGGAGCAGGAGTCAGCCGAGATCCAGCTCTGTCCTCCTAGTTCATTAAGCACGGAGAGAAGCAGATTTGATCTCAAGGCAGATCCCACTCCTGGGGAAGAAGAAAAAGGCTGGATGGTGGAGAGCTATGATGTTGCCACTCCATTCTAGCCTGGGCGACAGAGGGGGCCCCTCTGAAAACCAGCTTTGGAGTCAAACCAAGCTGCCCCACCACTTAGGAGCTGTTCTGCTAAGCGGATCCCTCCACCTTCTGAGTCCTTATTTCCTCCTGTGTAA